CATTGCGACCACTCTAGGCGGCTAGAGTGTATGTACAGTGTGTGAGTACAGTGGCATAAATTGGAGCAGTGAATTGCCATAACTGAGTTGCTACTTTTATCATGCACCATCATGCACCAACTCGCATTTCTGGTCTACGGTGAGGAATACAAGCAGTGACTTGTTAGTGGCACTTCACCAGTGCAGTTACACAGGCATATCCAATAGAATTCTCACCAAGTTAGAAGCCAAGCTTGCTTTGTCATATACAGTGGTGCCCCGCATAACGAGCGATTCATTTAACGAGGAATCCGCATAGCGATGAGGTTTTTGCGATCCTAAAAGCGATTGCATAACAATGTTTTCAATGGCTAAAAATCGCTTTGCGATGATCAGTAAGCATTTCGCTTATCGATTATTGCATAACGATGTTTAAAAAACAGCTGATCAGCGGTTCCAAAATGGCCCCCAGGAACAAATGGCCGCCCGCAGTGTTTTTGCGCCCTTTCCTCGCATATCGGGCAGCGAAAATGGCAGCCGCATGGAGGATTTTCTCTTTAAGGTGAGTTTTTTGCCCATAGGAACACATTTAAGGGGTTTCAGTGCGTTCCTATGGGCTTTTTGCCCCGTATAGTGATGATTCCATATAGCGACGATTTTTTTGGAACGGATTATCATCGCTATGCAGGGCACCACTGTACTGTATTGTTTACATTGAATGTGGCAAAGAATACCCACAAGGGGGCACTCATGTATCATGTTAAGCTCCTGCACTGCAGGCACTGTTAAGTTTTTATTTGGGGTTGCATCTCCATGAAATTCTGTTTCATGTCTGGATGCTGCCCTGACAGGTATGTTTAGGAGTAGCTTCCAGTAGTTAGTCATAGGACTTCATACTAATCTAGTAAATCATTTGTGCCTAATCTGGAGTCCTGACAGTCACAGTGTCTCAACTCACAGCATACTAGACAAGTTTGAAACTGTTAAATGTTCTTGCCGTAATTTGCACCCAGACCATTGTTGCAAGCTGTGGCTTGTTGACTCTGCTGCTGGAGATCTAAAAGCAGACTTAATATTGTCTGAAACATCTTGGGCTAATAAACCCTTCTTGGTTTATAGATGTATTTTGCCTTAATCCTTTTTTCCTGTAGCATATACCATTGTAACATCAATCTTTGTAGATCAGTGGATGAATGTATTATATGCCCATACATGCACGGCAGTGAGCTAGGCAGAGGTGGAATGGTAAAGAGACCATTTTACTGCTCCCAAGATGCTTTTCTTTCCCTAGGGCTTACCCATGTAAAACTCAAGAGTTACCAAATACCGTTTTTGTTGTTTAGTCGTTTTTGTTGTTTAGTCGTTTAGTCGTGTCCGACTCTTCATGACTCCATGGACCAGAGCATGCCAGGCCCTCCTGTCTTCCACTGCCTCCTGGGGCTTGGTCAAATTCATGTTGGTTGCTTCAATGACACTGTCCGTCCATCTCATCCTCTGTTGTCCCCTTGTCCTCTTGCCTTCACACTTTCCCAACATCAGGGTCTTTTTCAGGGAGTCTTCTCATGAGGACCAAATTTAGTTGTAGTCCTGACACAAACATTTGCATGCTGCTACTAAATATAGCAGCAGCATGCAAATGTTTGTGTCAGGACTACAACTTGGGGAATTCTGGGATTTGTAGTCCAAAATGCAAATCTGCCCAGCTCTATCGAGTAGCAGTTTTTGAAACAGCAAATGTCTAAGTATGCTAGGTCTGTCCTAATCAATACAGTCAGAATTGTCTCTGAAATCTTCCTGGCATAATTAGTGATGATATCACCAGCAGGGGGAGATTGTTGGTAATTGAAGTGGTTAAGGATTGAGAGCTGCAGTCCAAAAATAGAGGGCTACAGTTCCCCATCCCTACTATAAAACATTATTTTGATGGGAGACAGGCGAATGGGATAGGGTGTTTGGATTTCTTTCAGCTCCCATTCTCAGAATTCACCCAGAGTATGAGCCCAAAAAGCAGACTCATGCTGATTTTTTCCCCTATTTTGATTTCTGTCCTCGTAGGAGGGCCTGGCATGCTCTGGTCCATGGCGTCACGAAGAGTCGGAAATGACTTAACAACTAAATGAAAACAACAAAAAGTACTCCTTTGAAAAATAGTGAAATTGTCTCTGAAAGTTGCAAAGCATTGTGGGTGAGGTGGTCTTGATGTCCCTGTAGAAATAGACTTCCAACAGAACCTCCTACCACCACCACATGAAGCCTCCCAGGGATCGTCAGGGGCAAATGTTTGTTTTTTCAAAGGAGAAAAATGCAAACGGCAATGGAAGTAGGGAAACCTCTATCAGCCTCTATTTGGGGCTTCCTCTGAGAATTCTGCTTGAAGAACTGGGCAAATTCTGGAAAAAAGAGTCCAAAAACCTGGAAGTCCCACCTCTGCAGACAAAGAGTTACAGGAAGAAAGTGTCCTGCTACCCCCCAAACCACTTGAGCCCTATTTTTTTTAAACTTTGTTAGATGGTAAAGGTCTTCTGAACACCATGTGCTGGCCCATAGAAGTTGCATCTAGGAACGTCCTCACTATAAACAGATATATAAAAGGAGAGTTTTTTGAGGGGGGTGGTTCACTACAATAGGCAATTGGTTTTATGAACTTCCCAAAGCTTACTTATCAGAGGATTCAAGTTCATCTAGGGAAGTTCTTAATTCTGCATAATGAAGGTTCAAAAGAAATATACGGATCTATAACAATCACACGCTGTTAAGTTGATTTAAACAACCATGTGACAGCCCTATTGCATGGTTGTTTAGATAGTTTCAGAAGTAGTTGTCATTCTACGTAAAACATGCTGTTCTTCTTCATGGCCTCTGTGAATCACATTGTAGCTGATCTGCACTTGTGCAGAACCACGTCAGAAGATTCAGAGCTTCTGCGGTAGCAAAAAACACATTAGAATAGACCCCTCCTCCATATAAATATCTTGGCACCATGACTCTCCGTTCAGTTTCTTTCAACCACCACGTTGAAAGCCTCGTACCTCTTCTGTGAGGTAAAAGTGAAAGGGAGTTGTACTCTTGATCCAAAAAAATCATCGCTATCTGGATTCGTTGCTATGCGGGGCAAAAAAACCCCATAGGAACGCATTAAAACACTTAAAACACTCCCCCTATGGGGGAAAAACTCACCGTTATGCAAAGATCCTCCATACGGCCACCATTTTCGCTGCCCGGTAAGCGAGTAAAGGGCGTGAAAACGCTGCAGGCAGCCATTTTTTTAATCCGGCGGCCATTTTGGATCCACCGATCAGCTGTTTAAAAAAACATCGCAATGCGAAAATCGGTAAGCAAAATCCATATCGCTATGCAGATTTGTTGTTAAACGGGGCGCTCGTTAGGTGAGGCACCACTGTATCTTGATTA